TCCTTATTACAACAATACTGTACACCCATAACAACAACAACAACAAAAAAAACACCCTGATCACCATAATCAACCAGTCTCCTGAAAAGGACAAAAAGCTGATCCCATAGCTACAAATACTCAACTATCCCACACACTACACCAGAACACAGACAGCGTTCTAACTCCTGTCCTCTGAAGATGCTGGCCACAGAGACTGGTGAAACGTTAGGAAGAAAAACCTCCAGAACGCAGCCAAACAGCCCGAAAAACTTATAGTACCTAAGCAGGTTCATAAAGAGAGACAGTGTCTTTGAGGTAGCTTGGGCCCAAGCTATTTAGGGCTTTATAGGTTAAAACCAGCACTTTGAATTGTGCCCTGAAATGGATTGGCGGGCAGTGGAGGTGCTGTAATGGGTTGGGTGGGTTATGTGATCCCTGTAACCTGCCCTAGTAAGTAGTCTGGCAGAGTTTTGGACCCGCTGAAGTTTCCTGACTCTTTCGATAGGTAGCCTGACATAGAGTACATTACAGTAATCCAGCTGTGATGTAATTAAGACATGAGTTAGAGTGGCCAAATAAGACCTCTCACAAAATGGTTGCATGTTGCACATGTGACAAGGTTCAGGTATTCCTTTTCACAGTTCCTCATTTGCAGATGAAATGACAAGAGTGGAGTTTCATTAATGAAATCTTTATTCGTATAACTTGAACTTTTTTTGCATAGCTGTCTCAATGGGATTTTCGAAAGTCAAACTCTCAGGTAAACAGTCCCATAGCAAGGCTAATGGTTTTTCTAATGACATTTCTATCAACGTCTAAGTCTTCCCGAAGTTCTCCTGGTCGGTCAGCATCATCAGACACCTGCTCCGAATGGCACAAATAGTCCTGTAGCAGGGGTGTCTGGACCATTCGCCCTCCAGAGGTTTCTCTCCCAATTGAAGAGGCTTGGGACAGGTTACGTACTTCAGAGGACCTCATCCCTGTGTGTGGACCAATATTGTCCATTCCTCTGGATGCAGACCCTTGATGGTCGATTTCGCTCCTTCTACAATACTGTCACTCACTTCCCGAATGCGATCTTTTATTCAACTCTTTCTGAGGTACTTTAAATACCTTCTGTTCACCTTTTTCATCCTCCTTCCAGTCATCCTCAATTATTACTACCTTTTGCGTTTCCCCTGATTTTCCATCCTCAGTAGTGAGAAAAACTTCCACCTCCTTTTTAATCCCCTCTCCTGACTCCTCCCCTTCCCCCACCACCTTTAACCCTCTCATCTCCTCCTCAGTCTTGCGCATCTTTCTCATTTCCCTTATCTGGAGTCTCCCTTTCAGACGGATGAGGGGACGGCACACTCTCAGCTGTTTCCTTATGTTCCTTCATCCACTCACAGCACACTAATTTTTGACTGCGCAAATGCATTCTTGGCCACCACCATAGCCTGGGCATCTAGGTTCAGAGATGAGTCCAGGAGCACCCCAAAGCTGTGCACCTGCGTTTTCAGAGGGAGTGTGACCCTATATAGTACAGGTTTCCCCCTTATTCCCTGATCTGCTTTTTTCACTGACCAGGAATACCTCTATCTTGTCTGGGTTAAGTTTCAGTTTATTTGACCTTATCCAGCCCATTACTGATGCCAAACACTGATCTAATTTGACCTTATCCAGCTCATTACTGATGCCAAACACTGATCTAGAGCCAAAACAGCTTCCTCAGATTTAGGTGTCAAGCAGAGATAGAGTTGTGTGTCATCCACATACTGGTAACACCAAACCCCAAAACTCCGGACAACCTCTCCCAGTGGTTTCATGTAGATGCCAAATAACATAGGAGACAAAACAGAGCCCTGAGAGACCCCGCAGACCAGTGGCCAGGGTGTTGAACAGGAATCCCCCATCACCACTTTCTGTGGTGTAAAACAGTGTCGCTAACTCCCATCCCAGAAGGGCAGGTCAGGAGGATACTATTGTCATTAGTGCCAAAAGCCAATGAGAGGTCCAACAGAAGCAGTTAGGGACACACACCTCTTATCCAATTTCTGGTGTAGGTCATCCATCAAAATGACCAAAGCAGTCTCCGTCCCAAAAGCAGGCCTCAAGCCCGATTGCAATGGATCTATATAGTCTGTCTCATCCAAGGAACCTCTGAAGCTGAGAGGCCACCACCTTTTCTAGCACCTTCCATAGGAATGGAATATTAGAGACTGGTCAATAATTATTCAATATTGTGGGACCAAAGGAGGGCTTTTTTAACAATGCTCTTTTGCCTCCTTTGAGCATGATAGGATCCTACACTCCTCCTACCCAATCAACCAGTCCTTTTCTGGATGCTCTTTAGCCTCCTTTGAGCATGATGGGATCCTACACTCCTACCCAATCAACCAGTCCTTTTCTGGCAGCTTTTATGAGCCAGAAAGGACAGGGATCCAGTAGGCATGTGGTAACCCTCACTTCCCCAACGGTCCTGACCACATCATCAGGCTGTAGAAACTAAAACTCTTAACACAGGGCAAGCAGGGGCCAGAGTTTCATTCACAGGACCTGAAACAACAACAGCATCTAGCTCAGAGCAGAACTGAGCGAAGTGCGAAGTGTTGTGCAGATTCTTCACATCAAGCTACAGTGTGGTCTGCATTTTTTTTTCCTGGGGATCTTGACCACTCAAAAAAGTTCTGCTGGTTGACTCTGTGCACTTGTAATGGTGTTAGAAAAGAATGCCTCCTTTGCGACTTCCACTACCATAGAATTTGCCTTCCAATGGGCCCTAGCCTGTGTTTGGTCAGATTCATTCCTAGTTTTCTACCACCATTGCTCAAATCTGCATCCTGCTAATTTCATGACCACCAGCTCCCTGGTAAAACAAGTGGCCAGTTTGGTTCTACTTTGTGGGCTAGGGCATTTAGGAGCAATCCTGTCAATAGCTTTTGTCGTTTCCCCACTGCAGAGACCAATCAGGGATTCAACAGAATCATCTGCTAAGGTGCCAGAAAATTCCCCAACACCCACTATGAAATCATTTGAATCCATCAGCCTTCTGGGGTGGACTGTCTTAATCTGACCCCCACCCCCACAAAAGGTCTGAGTTGCAGTGAAACCAAATCCCACCAGATAATGATCTGTCCAAGGCGATAGAACTACAGAGAGTTCCTCCACACCGAGGTTGCCAACATCTATCCTGGTGTCAAAAAAAAAAAGGTCTAGTATGTGCCCTGCAGTATGGGTGGTGGCAGGTACCATTTGGGACAGACCCATGGTTGGCATGGAGGTTGTGAAGTCTTGAGCCACTCCTGACAGAGCTGTCTTGGCATGGATGTTGAAGTATTCCAGTATAACTAGCTGAGGGGAGTCCAACACAAATGTCTTCATCCTGGGCAAGGCACACTGATTCCTATACCAGTAGAAAACAGGGAGGATGTAGCTGGTCTTAATACGAGATAATTTCTTCAAACCAAGAAAATGTGGCTTAATCTGCTTGAAAACCAGTCAGATAATTTTAGATTACTCAGAAAACCAGTAGGCAACAATTTGCAAGAGAGGCCAAACTAGATATTTTCTAGTAATTGGAAGACATGAACCCTATAAGAAAAAAGTCCCAGCTTCAGATGTGTAAAGTCATTTTTTTTTCAGGGTAGGGTCCTTCTGCTGAGTGGATAAATTTGATATTTTCCAACATACCTAAGCACAAAGGAAGCTGTGTTGGCTGTAAGAATATTTATTAGTGTAATATCTTTATTAGCTTTTTAAAAAATAAGTCACTAAAATGCTTTTAGAATCTCCCAATCTCTTAATCACACGTTACAAAAAGCAGGGACAATTTTCTGTTAGTATGCCACATCCTCACATGTAGAAGGTATGATGGAGGCAGGAAAATAGACACAGAGAAAGAAAAATATAATGCATATACAATATGTTCTTGCTGCTTCTAAATGTTATTGTTGTTTAGTCATTAAGTCGTTTCCGCCTCTTCGTGACCAGAGCACGCCAGACCCTCTTGCCTTCCACTGCCTCACGGAGTATGGTCAAATACATATTGGTAGCTTCGATGACACTGTCCAACCATCTCGTCCTTTGTTGTCCCCTTCTCCTCTTGCCTTCACATTTTCCCAACATTAGGGTCTTTTCCAGGGAGTCTTCTCTTCTCATGAGATGGCCAAAGTATTAGAGCCTCAGCTTCAGGATCTGTCCTTCCAGTGAGCACTCAGGGTTGATTTCCTTCAGAACGGATAGAACAGAAACCTATCCATTCTGCTTCTAAATACAGCACGTTATTACAGAGATATAACCTGACCATGTTACACACAAGTACAGAAGATTATTTTAAGGAGTCACCAAGCTGTTTTTATAGTGGATGGAATCCTACTCTGGTGTTCACATAAAGTTGGCATAACTTGCTAGAGCTAATTGTGGCTAATTGACAGGGTACTAAGGCACATCTTGGTTGTACAATTAGGGGAGCTAATTGTGGCTAATTGACTAAGGCACATCTTGGTTGTACAATTAGGCACATGAATGGACATCTCACTGAGGCACACCTCAAAATTTTACTATGGCAAATTACATAATTTGTGTCTTGCATAAGCACTAATAGGATTCTAATACTTATAAAAATAGTTTAGTCACTAATAGGATTCTGGTCAGTGAGTTATACAATAATTTCACAATCACTGTGGGAGTTTCAAAAATAGTACTTGGTATTCCCATTGAACTTTACCAGGTTAAAGACCAAAACCCTATTGTGCTTATAATAACTATGCATCAGACAGAATTTAAACAGGTACAACTTTTTTAAAATGCTGCAGTTTGTCCTTCTGTAATACCTATTTTTATACTGATAAATTTAGTAATTTTTCCTAGACCACAAGAAGATGAATTGCTTTGTAGGTATCCTGTATGTCTACCATCATCTTGGTAAAAACTGAATTTCTGCTTTTAAACATTTCAGAAGTGCTGGACTCCTGCAGTACACCTGGACTCAGAAAGGACCTATGCACAACTATTAAATATTCTTCATTTTTTTTAAGGCTGGTGTGAGTTTACGAAAAGTAAACCGACATGTGGATTTCCCACTACTTTTAGACTTGGCTCCATTTTGTTCTGCTTCCTGCAAGGTATGGCATATTAAGACCATTATTTCAAGCTATACTTTAAAGATAATTCTGTCAGAATTCAGTTTTTATAGTTGTCACCCTTTTCACATGAATCGTAATTGAAGATGAGTGACTTTTAATACCATGCTGTCAAGCCAGACTTTTGCATTACGTAAAGCTTCTTTGCTCTGCCAAGTCATATTGGTTTAATAATAGCTGAGAAGCCATCCTGTTAACCTAATATACATATCAACTGGTCATCTCACTTTTGCTAATAGTCAGTCCGGATTTAGTTAGTGCACTCTTGTTCCTTGTTATATTAATTTCTTAGCCTGAATACATTTACAAAACTCACTGTGAAAAAAATAACATTTCTCCTGCTGCCCCTCTCCCTACCCTCTTTCTTTGTTTATACCTAAGAATGTGATGGATGGTGAAAAAGTTCTCTATGCTCTTTATGGAATCGTGGAGCACAGTGGGTCAATGCGAGGAGGCCATTATGCAGCCTATGTGAAAGTCAGACCGCCAAACAAAAAGCTTTTGGAACATATTTCTAGCAATAACAATGTTCAAGGTATGTACCTAAGTAAAATTGTGTATTATTAGGTGAAACCCATCTGGGGTTTCTAATTTTTTAAAACAATTCTCCACCTGTTGGGGTATGAATTGTGATCGAGAAAAGAAGGCATTATTTTTCAGTTTTCAGAGAAGAAGAATTATGACTTCTCTCTTCTTACACTTACAATAATTTTCCTGTTTCCATTTTCCAGGCAAGTGTTATAATGGTAATAACAAGTGAACACTCATTTCCTTCACATGTCTTTTAATGATACTCAGGACTTTGTGTATTCAGCATGAATCTGGCAAAGATGACATCCTCAGAAAAAGATACTTTGTTTTTGAAAGTATCATATGCAGTTTTCTTGTTTGTAATCTCTTGCTAATTTTGTAGTTGTAAGCAGTTTTCTTGTTTGTAATCTCTTGCTAATTTTGTAGTTGGAAGCAAAGTCACCAACAGAACCTACAATCAAAGCTTGAAATGAATTTCATACAGGAGTACATTACCAGAATTACAACACCTTTGGCTATGTTATATTCTCTTCTGTTCTGTCATTGTGAATAATACATAATTGTGTCTGTTGCATTGCAGGTTTAAAAGAATCTGCAGGAGCATCTGTAGGACAGTGGGTCTTTGTCAGTGACACGCACGTACAAGCAGTTCCAGAATCAAGAGTGCTAAATTCACAAGCATACTTACTTTTCTATGAAAGAGTTCTATAGTTACAATTAATATTACAAACATAGTGATAATAACTATTATTTACACTTGTTTAAAACCAGAAGAAAATTATACTGCCTGAAAATGTTTTGTCTTTCTAAGTCCCTTAGTACAACATTTAAGATTATTTCGTTCTTTTAAAAATTATGCATTGGATGTAAAAAAAAAAAAGCCCATGTATGCACAAAGCACTTTCATTTATATGCAGGTATGGTGGTGAACACATATTTTATAAGAGACTATTCCTTCAGAAGAGCCTAAGTTTTGTGAAGAGTGTATTGAAATTGCCAAAAATCCCCACGCATGAGTGAAAGTAACTTTATGTTTCCCTGAATCCAAGCAGACTTTCTTGCTGTTGGTCTCGTATTTCATTTGAAATAATACCCACTGAATACTGATAATTCAGTGGGTAATTCAACTAAATGCATCTAAAAACATTAATAGCAGAAATATTCTAGACATGACTAGCTCCTGCTTTTTCTTCAATCAAAAGTGTTGCTGAACAACTCAGAATGACGGTTATATAGTTTATTTGTGCATGAATATTCTTGAAATTATTGCTATATGTTAAATCACAAATAAAATAAATGAGGATTAGCTGTTTCAAGAAACAAAAAGATCACTGTACATGTCTTAAGAGTCCTTCTTCAGTACATCAACATTTCATCTTAAGCAAAGTAAAAGCAAAGCGTGCTTATGTACATCCCATAGTGCTTAAAGCTCTCTTTGGATGGTTTACATTTTAATTATACTGGGTATTCAATTTACCAAACTGAAAAGAATGGAAGATTGAGTCAACCTCTAGCTGGCTACCTGAGCCTGGGATCGACCTCAGTTCACAAGAAGAGTCTTTATTGCAGTTTAACCAGTGTACCACCAAGTTCAATACAAATCAATGTGCTTTTTAAAAATAGTGCCGTATAGTATCTGCTATTTGTGTAATGTCTCTGCTGAGAAAATTTGAAATGTACTTATCTTCACGTCCCAAAGCTTGCGTTGGGTACTAGGTAACTTAATGAATTCAACGTTTTTCTACTCAACCATTGTATCATTTTCTGATTTACAAAGTACACTGCACTTGTTTCTTATATTAAAAATAGGAGTGAGTGTGTACCGGTGGGTGTGTCCAGTATAGTTTTTAAAGAATTAAATTTGCTTTTTTGTTATATTCTAAATATATGAATTTATTTATACGGTACAGAACTATAGAGCTAGGCCTCCCCATGTGTGATGTAGCATTTGATCTTTTATGAAAAGACCCAGTGTCATTTATCACACTGCTTTTAAATGTGGGGAGATTTCCGAGGGACATTTGCTACTCTTTATGGGTTTCTACTTATTAGATAAGGGAGGGTCAGCACCCCGCTTTGCGCTGAAGCCCTTTATAATCAAATATGTTTTTTTTTTAATTGCAGCCATTGGGTTGAAGCCACAGATAAGCATTCAGAAGGGTGTTAGTGAAAGTGAATTATTCTGCCCCAGCTTTTCTTGGTAGCCCTTAAAACATGTTTCCTGAAAGTCTGGGTTCTTTGCTAAATGGGATAGGGGGATAATACAGGAGACACACAGGAAGATTGAAAAGTGGGCAGAGGGGAATTTGGTGTGCCTGAGCATGGAAGCTGCCTCCACTTGATTTCTCTTTAATCCTACTCAAAACAGTTCCTGGACTTATGGTAGAGGGTTTGGGGGACAGTGGGGAATAGCAAAGTCCATTTCCACTGATCTCTAGATCCAACTTACAAATATTAATAACAATAGTGAGCTTCTGTTTGTTATTCTTTTTCTTTAAAAACAGAGTCTTGTGGCACTATAAATACTAAAAGATTTTATTTAGCATTGGTTTTCATGGACTGTAGCCCATTTCATCAGATGAAAATATGCTGCAAATTTATTAAACTTAACACAGTATAAAATTTCTTAGACTTTAAGGTATTACAACACTGTTTGCTGGTTTGGTGCCACAAACCTTAATGACATAATCCTGTTTATTTTTCCTCAGAGATTAATATTCAGATAGGTGGGGGGACAGAGAGAGAGAGAAATGTACATGTGTATCCATCTGTCCATGGGCAACTTCTAGACATAATACACCAGAAACCTTTCTGTATCTTCCCCTTTAATCAAAACAGAAAATATGTAAGAGTAAGATTTTCACTGAGGTTTCTGATGGATTGTTCATATTATTGTCACACCTTCAGAATACAAAGTGACAAGACAGTTGCTAGGCATTTTAAAAAGCATATAGGCTGATTTGTTCGTATAGAAGTAATTATTAGAATTTATATATACATCTCATAGAAATCTAATTATTATTTTCCTACTCAAATCAGATAATATCCGCCTTTCCAAATTACTCCTACTAAAACATATTATTGATTTCGTTCCCATGGTCTCTGGGTTATCTTGTGTTGGGCAGTTTAGACTCCACAGGTCAGCAACATGGTTTGACAGGAACCCTACCCTAAGTCCCATCCACCCAATGGTCCTGTGGTTTATGCTCTTCTTTTAGAGCCATAGCAATGTTTGCACCTAAACAGAGTGCAAAAATTTCAAGAGCACTCATCCAGAAGCATGTCAAGGACTAGACCATGTTACTCCTCCAGTTACAGAATGAGGGCTGAAGAACGATAGAGAGGAGTTAGACCAAAAGGGGGCAACAAAGAGGATTAGGAAGAGGAAAGGAAGCAATGCTTAAATGAAGAAAAAGGCAGGTTTGAAGGTGAGGAAAGATAGAACAAGGACTAGGTAGAGACAAAGGATACCTGGAAAAATGAAAAGTAAAAAATAAAGCAGGATTCACATACAGGTGGTGTATTTGGATAAACTAGTGAAGAGGGGAGTAGATACATTTCTCTCTCTTCTCCCCTGTCCTGCTCCCTCTTTCTATGCCAGAGGGAAAATGCTTCCATCTTATGCAATTAGGATTGCACAAGAAATGGATGCCAACCAACACCATGTAGCTTTTTTTGCAAGTTTGCCATGATGCATAAAAGGAGGGGGAAAGGTTTACATTTGTAGCAATAGACACTTGGGGCTCTGAGAAACCAATAGAGTGTTTGTGTGCCCTAGGCCTATCCATAGGAAAGGAACTGTCATTTGATGGTGACCATTTCCAGGGTTTTCTAGGTGTAAAGTGCTCACAATTGGCTTACCATTCCCTTTTATGGGGGCTCTGCAAACTGGAACTTGCCCAAGGCTACATAGATTGGCCCTTCTCCTGGGAGGCACAATGGGAAAACAAATTATTTATTATATTTATTTAAAATATATGCCACCTTTCTCCTAATATGGCACCTTTCTCCTTTTAATATGGCAGCCAAAGTGGCTGCCATATTAAAAGAAACAAAGTTAAAACCAAATAATACTTTATTATAATATTTTAAAGCATTAACTGTATTAAAACTCGTAACAAGAGCAAGATTAAAAACACAAGTAAAACACAAAATAAAATGACCCCTTTAAAACTCCTCTTGGTCAACTGACCAAGAGGAGTTTTAAATTTGGTCAAATTTAAAAGAAAGCCTGCCTGAAGAGAAAAGTTTTTGCCTGCTTGCAGAAGGACAGCCGAGATGTAGCCTGTCTGGCCTCCCATGGGAGGGAGTTCCAGAGTCTGGGAGCAGCAACAGAGAAGGATCTCTCCTGTGTCTCCACCAATGTGCCCACGTGGGTGGTGTGACCAAAAAAAAAAAAAAAAGCCTCTCCTTATTATCTTAATAACTGACCATGTTCATAACAGGAGATACAGTCTTCTAGATAGCTTGGACCCAAGACATTTAGGCATTATAGGTTAAAACCATCACTTTTAATTATCTACAGAGATCGATTGACGATCAGTGAAGGTGGTGTAACAGGGGAATTATATTTCCCTTGTAACTAGTCCAGTTAACAATTTGGTTGAGGTATTATGGACCCGCTAGAGTTTCTGAACACTTTCCAAAGGTGGTACCACATAAAATACACTACAGCAATCCAATCATCCTGTAATTTAGGCATGTGTTATTACAGGCAGACAGATCTCTCAAGGAACAGGCACGCTAGGCACACTAGTTTTAACAGCGCAAAGGCACTCCAAAACTTGGGCAAATTCCTAACCTCTGGCTCCACACACACATATCCAGTTCACTTGCTATGCAATAATATAAGCACTAAAAAGAAAACCATCAAGAGCTGTTTGTAATCTGTAGTAATCCATGATGACATACAGTTGATCTGATTATTCAAAATCAACAGAAAATAATCAGCATAAGTGAATGATCGTTTTCATATCAGCTGAAAACCTGTTGCAGACCTCTGCATGCACAACTGTGACAACATCAAGCAGTAGCAAATCATCAGTGATTAAAGGCTTCCGTCGGGAATTTCAGGGTGAATGAAACTCACATTATGTATGAGTTATGTTAATCCACAACAATTCACTTCTGCTGCCATCCCTGTTGCACATACAGAGCCGTGCAACAGTATTTCTGCCATTGTGTACCAATTCTAGCATGTCCATTAAAGCAACACAAATTACTGACTTGCATATATTTCATCTACAGTGATACTGCCAATTATCACCATCAGCTGAGGTACTGATATTAGGATGCCCCTTTCCAGCACTGGAGTGGTGATGATGGGGCTTGGGAACATCTTTACATGTATGGATTTTCAGTCAGTTTCAGTAGTGAGGAAGAATTTCATGTGCGCAAAGAGAGTTGCAGAAAGCTGCTTGTAACCTTAGTTGTCTACATGTCTTGCTACTCTAGTCATGATGTAAAAATCTAATGAATTTAGTACCACTGAATAGAGATATCATATTTTTCTGTAGCTTGAGAAAAGTAAAGGCATCTTTTTTCCCCATGTAATCTTTGACCACCTCCATGTAGTACCTCAATAATTTCCCACCTTCACCTTTTTTAAATTCAGTCTGAGTATGAAGATTCCCTTCACCACCTCCATACACACACACAGCTATCCTTCACTGTCAAAAATGGCCATTGTTTAATTACTGTTCCATCTCTGCTTTCCTGAAAAATTCAAAAACAGGTCCTGGCTTTAGATCTGTTCAGTTGCAAACATTTTGGTTACTTACGAAGACAAGATAAAAATTGTTAGAAATACTGTCAACTAAACAACTGCCCAAGTAGCACCACCTTCTGGTTTGATCTTGCTACCGCATACTTTAAAATCCGATTTTATGGAGAGAGGCTATAAAGCATGAAGAGCAATACTTATGAGGGTGGGTGGGTATAACTAGGAATAGTCCACCCAATCCTATATATATTTGTTACTGTAATGACACACGATAGTATTGCGTTGCACACTGTGTTGAGAATTATGCAAGCATATCACTCTGCAGCTACTCTCCGTACGCTCTTGGCGGTACATACTCCCTCAAATAGGAGTGGCTATTTTAGACTAAGACACTATTGTATGTGCAGCTATTTTGTAAACTAGAATTACCTGTTAGGAAAAGGAAGAAAGGCAAGGTCTTGATCTGTTGGCCACTCATGGTTCTAACAGGTGAGCCAAAATCACTTCCAAAGTGCATTTGGTTCACCAGTTTTGAGCAGAACCTTGCACATGGGTATATTGTTTGGGTTTTATTGTCCAGTGGGTCATTCTTCCTACATTTGAGGGGTGTGGCTGGTTCTTCAAATTAGTAGACAACAAAACAAAACGTCTCCTGTGCTTGTTATTAAATCAACAATTCGTTGTTGGTTTAAAGCTCTGATTTGTAAACATGTTGGCCAGTCAGGTTCTAAAT